GTGCATCACCATTCAAAATTGTGCATGGGAAGGCATGCCATCTTCTTGTGGAGCTGGAGCATAGTGCTTATTGGGCAATAACCAAGCTGAATTTGGATGCTAAAGCAGCAGGGGGAAATAGAATGCTGCAGCTTAATGAGCTTGATGAATTCAGGCTGGACTCATATGAAAATGCCAAGTTGTATAAAGAGAAGATGAAAAAATGGCATGACAAAAATATTCTGCATAAGAGCTTTGAGCAAGGAGAGCAAGTGCTACTATTCAATTCAAGGCTCAAGTTATTTCCAGGAAAAATTAAGTCAAGGTGCTCAGGACCTTTTAGAGTGGTCCAAGCATTCCCACATGGAGCTGTTGAAGTTATGAGCGAAAAAGGGGGAGATACATTCAAAGTTAATGGCCAACGACTTAAGCATTATTGGGGAGGTCATGCAGACAAGGAGAAGTTTGTTATCTCCTTGGGAGAGCCCAATTGAGTCCAAGAAAGAGCAAGTCAAGCTAAAGACTTAAAATCAAGCGCTCTAGGGAGGCAGCCCTAGGATACTAGCAATTCATTTTGATTTAATTAAGCATTTTCATTAATTTTGTCAATTAGGAAGCATGTGATTTAATTCTAAGTTCTTAATTTCTGGGATCAGATAAGAAAAAAAGAAAGAAATTCAGTGCTGTAGTAATGTCACAACATAATCACAGGCTACAACAAAAGAGTTGTGGGCCAGGAAGAAATTGGGTCGCGTTAGGCCACTGAAAGTGGAGGAAAGGCCCAAAGGATGCTACAGCGTGGGTTTTGCTGATTAACCCAACAGGACCGTTGAGCATTTAAAACTGGAACGTTGGAGGAGAGAGGTAATCATGCCCTGCGGTTGAGCAGTTAGTTGGGCCAATAAAAATGCTGCAAATGGCCCTGAAGCAGTTATAAAAAGCTGTCAACGTCCCTGCATCCTTATCTCCTCTCTGATCGTGCAAAAGGTACCCATTTTCTCTTTATTTTCATTTTCTCTCAATCCTGAAAGAAACTCCAGGTTGTTCCAAAGAGCCAAAGTGAGAAACTGAGTTTGGAGTCCCCATTGTTAATCATAACCGAGAGCAAACAACTGAGTTTGGAGTCATAGCAATGGAAGGCACATCAACAAGGAGTGGAAAGATTAGGGGGATGAACGTGAAACATTCTGGCACCCCTAAGAAACTGGAAGCCATACCTACCTTCATCAATGAACGGGCTGTAAAGAGGCATGAAGTTATGCTGAAGAGGAATCTCCTCTCTGATAGAGGTTTCGTGCAAGTCAGCATTGATGCTGGGGCATATGACCCATACATCACCAACATCATCGCTGCACATCAATGGGGGAAATTTTGTCTCCTTAAAGATGAAGCAGTAATCCCTATTGTTAGGAATTCCATGCCAACATGCCTCAGAGCAAATCCACTAAGGTTATGGTCAGAGGAACAAGTGTATCCTTCAGCAATGCTACCATCAAGAGGGTGTACAACTTGCCCACCATTGTGGATGAGTATCAAGGTCTGAAGACCACCAATGATGAGGAATTTCTGAAACAAGTCCTTGAGGACTTGTGTGTGGAGGGGACGACATGGACTGAGTCGGCCCAAAAGAGTCTCTCTTTTCTGAGAAGTGCACTGAAGCTCGAAGCAAGGGTGTGGTACCATTTTTTGAAGAGTAGGCTAAAGCCTACTTCCCACACTGAGACTGTGAACAAGGAAAGAGCAATATTGCTCTCTTGTATTCTGGATGGAAGACCCATTGATGTGGGTCGTATTATTCAAGCCGAAATTGTGGCTTGCTCCAAAACCGATACTGGCTACCTGTTCTTCCCTGGATTGATCACCCAGTTATGCCAGGAAGCCAATGTTCCCATTGCTGATGATGAGGAACGTTTCCAGATCACAGAACCAATCACACCCTACACCACTGAAAGGGTCAGCAAGAAGGCAAAGGTACTTGCTGGAGAAACTATATCTTCACCAAAATCCCGAGGAAAGAATGCTGCAGCATCAACTTCCACAGTAGCAGGGGAAGAAGATTCAATCTGGAAGAAGAGGATCGACGACAGACTGAAGAAGATTGAGAACGACCAAATGGAGACCAGGAAGGAAATCATGGACAAACTGAATAACATGGACAATTTCATCCTAGCTCAACTTGGTTTTCTCAAAGCTCCTGAACAGAAAGAAGGCCAGAGTAAGGCTGCAGCATCTGAAGAAGAAGAAGCAGCAGCAGAAGAAGAGGATGAGGCAGCAGAAGAAAAAGAAAAAGAAGAAGAGGAAAAAGAAGGGGATAGTGATTGATCTCCTCTGATTTTTAAATAATTTGTGAAAAGTTGTTTTGTTCTTTGTTTTTCTTTTCTTTGTCTGTTGTATATCTATCCTCTTGTTAATTGAAAAAGAACTTAGTAAGAAATTGCATGTTGTAGGAAGTATTTTCTGTTCAATATTCTGTGTGTTTTGTTTCTAGTTTTATTCTGAAGTTAGGCAAAATATAGAGAGAAAATAAGGGACTCAAGGAGCAAACTCAGTATTGATGCTGAGTTAAGAACAAGAAGAAAACTCAGTACTGATGCTGAGTTAAAAATCCTGAAGGGTTTAGCATAACATCAATCAGGCAATGTTGTATCCTTGCCTATTCTGTTATAATCTGCATTGCTGCAAGATTGCTACAGCACTGTGTAAGCATGAAAGTCAGTGGTTAAAGCCAAACTCTAAATGGAAACCCAAGTAAGACTTGAAAAACAGAACCAACTCAGGGTAAAAGGCCAATGGATGAACCATTTAAGCACAAGGATCAATTCAAGGCAAGAGAAATCAAGTAATGAATTGGGGAAGAGGGCTTAGGGTTCAACAATTTGCTGGGTTTGAATCCCATCACATGAGACAGATTTGAGGGCTATAATAGTGAAAGAAGCCAAGCAACAAAGTGCCAATGCACAAAGAATTCTTCCTCAAGAAAATGGAGTCAAAAGAAAAAGAGAGAGAGGGAAACCCCAAAAATAGACTAAGTGCAAAAGCACTAGACAAAAGAGGAAGGCAAAGCTAAAAATGCAAGGTGGACACTCTTTCCTTCAGGTCTTGTACACAAGGATGTGGATTCAATCCTGACAGAGCATGAGTCAAGCAACTAGGCCTAATGATTTTTAATTTGAAGCTCCAAGATGGATCAACCCAAGAAGCAAGTTCCTAGCACACACACACTGAATCATCCAAAAGTTATGAATCCCTGAGAAGATGAAGCCAACAAGAAATACTGAAGTTGAAGTAAGGATGATGGCTGAAGATCAACAATCAACTGCACAATGTTGTAGCAATGATGCTGCAATCTGGAGAATCTCAACAATGGTCTTTGATACAGAAGTTACTGAGTTGATGAATGTTAAACCTGAGGAGTGTTTTGTTGCTCGAGGACAAGCAACATTTTGAGTTTGGAATGTGATAACTCTCCAAAAGAGAGTTATTTTGGGCTTAAATGTGATGTTTTGGTGTTATGATTACATATTATTCTCTTGATTTTTTATGTTTAATGCATGAATTCTGTGATTTCATGGTTTAATTGAGAATTATGTTAATTATGAGTATTTGGACATAAATTGAGGTATTGGAAACATTTAAATGCACTTGTTATTTTACTGTAGGTCAATGTTGTAGCATCGGGAAGTAGTGTTGTAGCAATGCAGATGAGGTCAGCAGTACATACTGTTGACATCAGCACCAGCAAGCCATGGATCCAAGCCCAATTCGATGGAAGAAGCTTCTGAACGTGTACGAAAAGATATGATTTGAATACACGCTCAAAATCATCAAGAAGTCACAAGATAATCTTCATCGAATCACTGATTACAAATCGGATTCGAATCTGAACTGTAAAAATGGAAAGAATTCTGTGAGATATGCCACAACACACTCTGTCAGCATGACAGCAAAATAGAGTACCAATTCCAATCGATCACAAGGCAGATTTGAGTGATGATTTGCATGGACAGAAAAGAGATGATTGAAGCCCAGAATGTCAAAGCTTATAAAGGAACGTACCCTGCACAAAGAAACGACGGTTGATATGTTTTGAGACACCCAATTGGAGGCAGATTTAGAGAGAGAAAGTGGAAGAAACACTTGGGAGGAATTTGAGGGTTCGTTGGGAGAAATCTCGCGGACCAAATGAGGGAGCTGAAGTTCAATTGAGAGATCATTGAACCCAGTAACCTGCTGCACTATTCCGGCGGCTGAGGCAAGGTTGATGGTGGTGGAGCTCATGGTTGCTGTGATAGCAGTGCTACAGCAACGTCCCTGTTTTCTTTACTTTAGTTTTATGGAGTCTTATTCTTTCCTTGTTGTTTCTGTCCACCCAATTATGGGCTAACTTGTTAGGATTGGGTGATAGAGTATCCTTATTGTGATGTAAATAGTATTGCCTAAACTTTGCTACATGATTTTCCTTTCGGTTGCTTAATAAAGTGTTATATTTTCTTTAATCTTGTTGATTCGTCGAGAGAGGGTTGCAAGATAATTAGGATTTATGCTATAGAGATATAGGTAATTTCTGAATGTTGTTAAGCATTGTGGTTTAGCTAAGTAACATTAGTTAATTGTGAGTAGAGAGATCACTTACACCACAAAATCAAATGGAACTTGAACTTAATGAATTCATAACTTTGTTGGCCATAGAGATGTGGAACTTAGTATACATGTATTGTTGGTGAGAGCCCTTGCATGCATTGATGTTCTGATTACTGTTTGGATAATTGTTGTAGCATGGTTACTGCATTCTGGTGAAATTGCATTAATGGGGAAATTGATTCCAATCTGTCTTGATACATTTGAAACACTTCGTTTGCTACTGAATCATTGTTAGTTAATCATTAGTCTTAGTTTATTTTACTTTACTTCTTAAGTGTTAATTTAGTCATTAGTTTCTCAACAAATCATCTTTGTTTCCTTGGTTGCTTCATAGAAGCTATAGCATTATATAATCTCTGTGGGAACGATATCTGGACTCACACATCCACTTTATTACTTGTTGATATGTGCACTTGCGTACTTGTGTGATTCAGTTGATTGTGAAATTGCACAACAAGTTTTTGGCGCCGTTGCCGGGGATTATTATAAAGTTATTTTCTTTTTGTGAAGTGATATTTAAATCATATCTTCTTTCTGTCTCATCAGGTGCTCCAGCTAGTATATGAACATACCTCCCAATCAGTCAGAAGTTGCATTTGATCCAGAGATTGAAAGAACTTTTCGAGCAAGGAGAAGAAGGGAGAGATAGAACAGAGCTGTAGCAATACCTAGAACTGCAGACATGGAAGTAGAAGGATCTATGAATAGGGATGACCAAGAAGAAGCACCTATTAGATCACTTGGAGTCCCCACACTTAACAATCTCCATTCTGAGATTGTGCAACCTGAGGTTGCAGCAGCAAACTTTAAGCTGAAACCCGTGATGTTCAGCATGCTGCAGACAATTGGCCAGTACAATGGAATGCCAAGTGAAGACCTATATCTGCACTTGAAGAATTTCATGGACGTGGCAGATAGCTTCAAAATACAAGGAGTCACAACTGATGCAATTAAGTTGAAGCTATTTCCTTATTCATTAGCCAACAGGGCTAAGACTTGGTTGAGCACTCTAGCCCCTAATTCAATAAAAAGATAGGAAGATTTGGCTGAAAAGTTCTTAGTCAAGTTCTTCCCACCAGTCAAGGTAGCTCAACTAAGGAGTGGGATCACATCATTCCAGCAGAGAGAAGGAGAGTCATTATATGAAAGCTGGGATAGATTCAAAAAACTACTTCAGAAATGCCCCAACCATGGCATACCCGAATGGCTTCAGATGGAAACCTTCTACAATGGGCTGAATGAGCAAACCCGTGGCATAGTAGATGCATCATCTGGAGGATCCCTCTTGGATAAGACATTTACAGAAGCCTACCAAATTTTGGAGAGGATAGCAAATAACAATTATCAATGGCCATCTGAGAGGACAATTGCACAGCAGAAGGCTGCAGGAGTACTCGAGCTAGATGCTATATCATCACTATCAGCACATATTTCCACTCTGACTAGTACCCTCAAAAATTTGAATCTGAGCACTGATGCTAAAGCACAGCCACAGCAAGCACATGCTATTTCTAATAATTCTAATGTTGTAACATGTGTTTTCTGTACTGGTCCCCATAGTTATGACGATTGCCCTCAAAATCCTCAATCAGTGTTTTTTGTAAGAAATTACAACAGGAACAATCAATATTCAAATTCCTACAATCAAGGATGGAGGAACAACAACAAATTGCCTTACTCTCAAGGGCAACAGCAAGGATCAAACTATGCTCCAGCACAGCAGATGCCAAGGCCACCATTTTAGCAGCAGTAGCAGCCGCAGTAATACCAACAAACTAGACAGCAATCTGACAACTCTAGTTCGTTGGAAAATATGCTGAAAGACTTCATGGCAAGGAATGATGCTACTATTCAGAGTCAATCAGCATCAATAAAGAACTTGGAGAATCAAGTAGGGTAATTAGCTGATGCCATGAGGAGCAGACCCGTAGGCACACTGCCTAGCAACACTGAAAATCCAAGAAGAGAAGGAAAAGAGCAAATCAAGGCTATATCATTAAAGAGTGGAAAGGCTATAGATGAACCAGACCATATTAAAGATCACCACAAGATGAATGAGTCAGAAAGCCAGAATGCAGGAGAGCAGGTTGTTGTGGAAGAAGAAATTGGAGTGTAACAGGTTGACAGTCAGACCAAAAGTCTAGAACAGAATGTTGCAGCAGGGAAGCAGCATAGTCAGCCTGTTGACAAAGAAAGTAGACCACCACCTCATTTTCCTCAGAGGCTTCATAAGCAGCAAGATGACAAGCAATTCAAAAGGTTCATGGATGTACTGAAGCAATTGCATATCAATGTTCCATTGGTAGAGGCTCTTAAACAGATGCCTAGCTATGCAAAGTTCATGAAAGACATCTTGTCAAGAAAAAGGGGAGCCTCTCTTTGAGGCTAGTCACCCTCTCTTTTAGAGAGAGAAAGTGGGGGAAACACTTGGAAGAGATTTTGAGGGTTTGTTGAGAGAGATCCAACAAGTCAAAGGGTGAGGCTAGGGTTTGATAGAGAGATCATTAAATTCGGTGGGTCCCTGCACTATTCTGGCGGATGAGATACAGTGGATGGTGGCGGAGCCCATGGTTGCTGCGGGAGCAGTGCTACAACAACGCCCTTGTTTGTTTTATTTTAGCTTTATGGAATTTTTATCCCTCTCATTGCATGAGTAACTCTAGAACTTGCCTTGTTTCTTG